CCTCAATCTCTGAGCTCCCCCTCAGATTCTGATCAGGGAGGCAGAGTAAAAAACACCTCATATATGGATTCAAATCCTTGCTCTCTCAGTGACTCCAGAATTTCTAGGGGGTTAAGGCTGCCATCTGGTTGGAAGGAGGTTAAAGGACTAGCTTTGACAATTCATTTGCATAACAAGAGCCCATCTCATTTCTATTTAGAGTTTATCTAGCTGAGTCAGTTAAGAGTCAGAAATGCCTTACCCACACTTTGGTCCCACTATGGGCCTCGGGCAATTTACTTATCCTGTTTCAGCCTGTTTCCTCATTCACAGGATGAGAATGCTATTTCCATATCTCACATGGACTTGTCAACTTGGAACTGCCCCAGGCTAGAACTGGAGCATGATACCAGTTCCCCAAACAAAGTCCCAAACCAAAGATACATATCTCTAGATTTCTCCCTGCTGGGTCTCCCTTGACAATGACTTACAGCTCCTTCCCCACCACCATTCACTCCACCAGCTCCATCATTTAGTCACAACTCTCATTTATTAAGCAACAGTTGGGTGTTGGGTATTTCACAATGAAAAGGCATACATAGTCTTTCCACCTGAAGTAATGAGGGACTATTTAGGGCCTTAATCTACTTGGCACATAAGCGTGTACCCTGAGTAACTGGCTTTGTCACTGGTAGGCTTCCTCCACACACACCCCCAGGCATAATATTTTGTGAATGGGTGGAGGCTGAGGACCCTGGCCTTTGGGAGAAATAAATGAAGCTTGGAGGAGGGGTAGAGGGACCTGCTGCCCCTTTAAATCATAACCACTAAAGTCTGGATCAGACATGCGACTGGAAATTTCTCCAAGTCTCTGATTTTTTATCTGTAAAATAATGCCTCCATCACATCGTGGTTTCCCACATGTGAAGTGTTTGGCAGACAGAGGGCAACAACAAATGTTAATTTCTTTACCAATTTATTTCACTCCACTACTCTCCTCCAAATCTAAGGTTAGGGAAGGAGCCAGGGAACAAACACTTGGTATTTTCTGACCGGAGATTCAAAGCACACTGTGTGTAACCATCTTCCCATCCAGAATACGTCCATGCTGGGTCCAATGGATTGCGGGAGGCCAGTCCTATCCAGTTTTCTGGCCATTGTCACTAGTGCAGTATCTGTTTCCGGGTGCTATAGCACTCCCAGCAACACCTTGGTCACACGCCTCCCATCCTTTTCTTTTTCTTTCTTGCCTTTCAGAGATCCTGTCTCAGAGGCTGTTTTCTAGCTACAAGACTTTATTTTACATTTCTTACCCAACTGCCCACCAACCAAGTTCTTACACTGGGCAACTGGCATCACCTGGAAAGCTGTTTTCTCTTTTAATTCAGAGATGGGCAGGTTTTCCTGGGCGGAACCTCACCGCTGGAGGTCTGGGGTGTCTTTACATCATAAAGGACCCCGACCTGGGCAGCTGATTGGTGCTGGTGTCAAAGCGGCCAGTGCCCCAAGTTCCAGTCTGGCTTGGCTCACTGTACCCAACTGCCATTCCGATGCCTCTAGTGGGCATCTGTCAGGATGAGGTGCAAGTGTCCATTGGAGGGATACTGTGTGTGGGGGTGGTGCAGGGTGGGTGGGTGGCCTCTCTGGGCTTCTAAGGGGCAGAGAAATTGCGATGCCACCGGGCTTATAAATCTGTGCCTTCCAATCCACCGCTGGCTTCTGAAAGTGGCACAGCTTCCCATGCTCCCCTTTGAGAAGAAAAAGGGAAGGACAAAACAGTGGGTGGGGGCATTATGCTGCTCTGGTGAGCAGCTCCCACTCACTAGCCTCCCCGCTATCCTCCTCCTACACTGCGACCCCTCTACTGTAACAAAGGCACATCACTACACATTTTCGAAGTTATCACAAGTCTCTCGGTCAATCAACAAACGATTCTGATGACTCAAAAGGAGGAAGAGAGACATCTAGAAAACGGTGGGGAAGATCCTCAGGAAAAAGCACAGCAAACCTTGCCCTGTGCACGCAAGGCTAAGAATTGCTTTCTCCCTGCTGGCTGCTTTTCTCTTGGTTCTAGAGAGAAGCTTCCAAGAATCAGCTAAATAAAGGGATCGCACCAGAGGATGAGAGAGAATGTTAAACCAACAAAAACAAAGACCCAAATGAAGCAGAGCGAGCCATGAGAATCCGCGGTTATCAAAACTTTGTTTGGTCGTATCTATTTATCATCGCTGTACACCCGGGCTCTGCGGAATATCATTCTGTTGATGTCACTTATCCTCAGCAAAATATTTACACATCCTTAAAAACGCCAGATGAGGGGGGCCGGCCCACGCACTGCCGCGAGCCGCCCCTCAAGCACCGTCGCCGAGTTCTGGGCAGACGGTGAGGTGGGGGCGCGACGGAGGGTGGCTCCCGCGGGCACTGGTAAGAGCTACGGACAGTTCCCGGAACGCGGCCATCCCGGCGCTGCGCCCTGCCCTGCCCACCTCTCCCCCACCTGACTGCTAGAAGCAGCCACATCCCCGATATGGTATCGCGCCTCCTCCTCCTCCTGCCTTTCTCATTGATTAAGTTCTCAAACCATTGTTAAAGCCGGGTTGCTTTTCCCTGGAAAACTGGGCTGAATTTATTAAGCTTCCTCATGCCACAAAAGGAATATTCATAAAAGTTTGGCAGGCAGAAAACGAGGCTGACTGCGTGCCACGGGGTGGGTGACAATTCGCTCTTCCAAAGCCACCTTCTTCCTCCGTGCCCCATCCCTTTCTCCATCCATCCGTCGTGCCCCAAACCTACTCCAGGGACTTCTGATGGGGAAACACAAAGCAGCAGCTGTTTGGCAACATTTCTACCCCTCGCCGGCAACTGTGGTGGGATGCCATTTCCCCACCCAGGCGGAGCTTATCCTGAACAATAGTCGGGCTTTAAACGGCAAACAAGCAAACACACAGAGCACAACCCCAACCCCAAAAAAGCCAACGCGGCGAGCAGCAGTAACTCCCTCCGCAGCAAAAGGCGCCGCGGAAACGCACGCAAAAATGCAGCGAGAACGCTGCTCTGTGCCTAACATGGCAGAAAGCCCGAGCCGGTGCGGCCACCCCGGGTCTGGACATTGGGGGCACGAGGACTCTCGGGGCGCCGACGCACACTCACCCGGCTCCGGGAGGATGCGGGGCTGGCCGAGCGTCACAAAGGCGAGCCCAACGCGATCTGGCAAAACCCAACTTTCCACCCGGCTCGCCAGGGCCGCCAGATACGTCAACAGAATCCATCTTTCGAAGGGCCTGGAAGGCGCCGGGTTTTCCGGGCCGGGGCAGAGCTGCAGAGCCAGAGGCGGCCCCGT